ACCCACCCAGCCACTGGGAGGCTGGTCATTGGAAAGCTGTGATGTCGATCAAACACTGGTCAGGGCGTGAGGCGCGAGCCGCCCTTGGCTTGTGCGCGCTCGGGGTTGAGGGGGGTAGAGCCTGAGGTGGTCCCTTCATGAGCCACTGGGACGGGCTGTTTTCTCACGGCACCGTGTACAGCGCCGAGCACCGGGCGGGGTCTGTCTGATGCCTGCCTCCTGGGTCCAAGCACCTCGTCGCCTCCAGCAGTGCGGGGGGCAGGCAGCTTTGCAAAGGGATGGAGCATGGCGAGGGCCGGGGGGGCCTGGAAGAGAGGCTGAGGAAACCCTAAAGGGGAAAATATAATGGCCCGTCAGAGAATGAAAGTCTGAAAGAGCGAGTGCTGTAGAGGGAATTAATTACAGCCTTTTTTTTTTTTTTTTAAACAAGGGGACAGTTACAGACGTTGTCCTGTGCTGGAGAAAGAAGAAAAGACTCAATATATGGACCGAGAAATGGGGCGCAATGAGAGCAGGACAAACATGGTGACATTTGTTTGGCCTCTTCACAGCATTTTGATTCCATTTTTTTTAAAAAGCTGCTGCTTTCTCACGAGTTTGAAATCGTGGCTTGTTTTGACCTTGTCTCCCCTAAGACATCCAGTTCTGCTTTGGAGGCTATGTCCGTTATTAACTAATCTAACCACTATTTTGTAGTCTGGCATGTTAAGTAGGTGAGGGGAGAAAGAGGAAAGAGGTGAAGAGCAGAAGGAGAAATGTGAAAGAGGGACAGAGCAAGGAGACACAGACTGACTTGTAGGCATTAATCACCACAGTGCTCATAAGGGGATAGATACTCCATTGACAGTGACATTTGCTGATAAAGTATCAATCAGAAAATCTTAACATGATTTAAGGAGTAAATTACTCTACATTTACACAGTGACTTTCTGTTTGAAGGATTCCAAAGCAGTTTACAAGCCTGTACTTTGAAGAGTATAAACTGTAGCCACGTCTCAAATGTTCAGGCAGTAAACTAGCATAAAGCCATGAGGAAGAAATGAAGTTTTGTCTTGGCAGATTAAAGCAACCCCAGTATGGTTTCAGGGCCTAGTAGTATCCACAACCTTTCATTTTCCTATGGTAGGAATATTGAGCACCATGCAGTTAGAGCACTATGAGAATGCAAACAATATTCTTTCTTGTATGACCCTATAAGCCAAGATCTGGGGGCTGCAGCCTCCTTTCACAGCAGAGAAAGACTGGAGAGATCTGTATAAATGGAACCTGGTCCTGAAACCACTGCTGAGCATAGCACTTAACACTGCACGTTGCCCTGGTGTAGCAAGAAGTGTGGCCCGACTCACCTTTCTGCTGCCCTGCAAGCCGCATATCGATTTGCATCACTGCAAGGTGAGCATATAACTACCATTCTGCTTTAATAGTGCTTCATACTGTCTTCATGCTGATGAAACTAGTAGTTGGGCCTACTGTTTCCAGCATCTCACACTTTGCAAAGGATTTATAAATACGTCAGGATGAAAAGGGCTACATAAATTACTAGAGGTATGAAATGCCTTAGACATGTAGGTCAAAGAGTTAATTTAAGTTTTGAAAGACAAAAGAACTTGAATAGTTTGGTTTTATGTACTGTACCATGATCTGAAATCAACCATATATGGGTGAGTGGGGGAAAAATTGTATGTTTCTAGGGAGGTTAGTACTAGAGAAAGGTACTGGATTTGTTTTATTCTCCAGCATGCCGAGAGCTTTGTCAGTCTCTGTCAGGGAGAAACAGCAGATGGACTCAGTGCTGTATGATCTGTGGCTAAAAAACAAAACAAAAACCCAAGCAGATTTGGTAGGCTTTTCCAAAACTACCCAGCATTAATATTCATGTCTTAACTATCTCTAAACATTTTGTTGGGCCATATTTTAAAGCCCTGCATACCATTTCCTGAGGCCATCATGCTTTGCAAAATGTCAACCATTTAAGAGCCCCCAGGGCTGAATATGTCTGTTGCCAGTATTGTAGGGAATAATGAGCAGATATGTGTTGCTGCTGAGTTACTAATACCTTAACTTCAAAACCTTTCCCTGTGCAAGGATTTCAGTTTTGCTTCAGATGTGAGATATCAGTTTTGCATGTCAGAATTGTTCTGTACATTCTGGTGTGTGTGTGGTAGGGAGATAATAATGGGGTCCCAAAAGGTTTTCAAAGGCTATAAATGATTCATAGATATCTTTCATTTTGGAGGGATACAGGAAGAGAGATGGGCATAGAAAGAAAATTAGATACCTGTTCATCTTCTCTGCTTTAGTGTAGCTCCCTGGAACTGTGATAATAGATGTGAGTCACAGAAAACTGAGATGCCCTTTTCCTAAATCAGGGATGGTTCAACTCACCCAATTGAGCTGCAGTACCATGGCAAACTACCGTATTGCATCCAAGTGAAGGCAGCACAGACATAATCCCAGAGGCCTCCTTACCTTGGGTCTTCCCACACAGGCAATCTGACCATGTGAAGGGATCCTCCCAATAGTGAACTAAATCATACCCCAAATAGCCCTTGCCTATAAAAGGTAAACCAGGCCCAGGCTGTATTTCAAAAATATACATTTCAGGTACCTACAATAGAAAAGATGAGAAGGAAACAGGACTGGCAAAGCTAAAAATAGCCCATTACAAACAAGGCCAAAACTACCAAATATCCTGTACCACAGGCATTTTCAAACAGTGTTATCCCATCGGGTCTTTTAGCCACAGTTTATTTCTCTAGTATAGCCAGGGCCTGGAAGGGCAGGATGGCAGTAAATTTTGACCCCAGAACTCCCCCAGCCACACAAAGAAACTACTCAGCCCTTGAACTAATGGGAGGTTGTGATCCAGTAACTCAGCCCAGCAGGCTTTTTGTTATGTTAAATTCAGGCTTACTGGCAAAGGATGGGCGTAAAATGGAAGATTTCCTCTTCCAAAACAGTGAGATGAATGCTTTCTGAAATCTACCCTCCTTTTAAAAAGGTGTTGCTTATGGCAGACAGCAACCATTAAAATGCTAACAAGCATCAATCTATTAAATCTACTGAAAACTCCAGCAGTACTTATGCTAAGTGCAAGTAACAAGTCTAGGTTTGTGGCTTGTTAACATTCTACTTAATTGCTGCATTGTAATACAGAGGAGACAATGCACTTGACCCAGGCCAATCTAAAATATGGAGTTTTCATAAAATTAGAAGGTAAAAGGCTTTTTTACAGTTTCATTTTAGTTCTGAAAAGTCTTAAGTGTTCTTAAAAAATTGTGAACAAGTATGTATGCCACTGATCAAATAGCAGATAAATATAATCTGAGAAAGGCGGGGCAGCCTTTCTTCACCACTCTAGTCCTCTCAGGAGACCAGGGATATCTGCAGGTTGGAGTGCCAATACTACTCCCTTTCTCAGGAAGATTTTTCCAGCTGCAGTTTCCCAGAAATTGCCAGGTGTATGTGCACTTCAGCAACATCAACTGAGATTCTCATCACAGTTATATTATTGAATTGTATGTGGACATTCAGGGCTGTGTGTGTTTTGATCTAGGTGTGTGTGAATATATGCACTTAGTGTGTATCTAAGAAAATGTGTACTTCTATAACTATATACATTGCATAAACATAAACCTTTAATGTATGCACAGTACACTGGTGTGAAACAGGGCTTGACCTAATGCACTTTATCCACTAGTTTACCAGCATAGCTATGCAGAAAGGTTGCAATGGGGAAAATGCATAAATACAAATTAAACCAATATGGACAAGAGTTATATTTATACTAAAGGTGAAATGTGTGGTTACAACACTTGTGGACATAACTGAGATGTTTTTATCCAAACTACCTAGATTAAAACTAGCAATAAAATTATGGTAGCATTGATTTTAGCTTGGGCTACAAAAGCTTACCAAGGACCCTGGCTGTATCCTCAGCCAGAGAAGCCCCATTCTGTCCAACTTCCAGGCTGCTGGGGTGCTCCACACCATATGGATTACAGACCTGGGCAAATGCCCTCCTCCCCCCCTGCCGCAGTCTTCAGATTACCACTTCTCCCCCTGTCATGTGCATAGTGCAGGCATCCCCATTCCTTGCCCCTCCAGGAACTGTGCCACATGTGCAGATGTATCCATGGCTTAAGCATGTGTATAGTTTTATAGGGAGTGTTTATGAGAAGAGGAGGAGCACAGACAACTGGTATGTGCTAATGTCATGGCTAGGATAAATTAATGATTTTTTTCTGGGGTTGTATTGAGACTAGGATTTAAGGGTATGTTATTAATATATTAGGCTCTGTCCTTCCAAACTTTAACCAGTTCAACATGTGTTATAGACACTGCTCTTAAAACATAGTGTCTTACCTAATCCATTTCATCCTAACATTTTAAAATAGGTCCAGACAAGATGTGCACTGGCAACCTTGTAGACCATTCATCAAGGCTTCTGCATTTAAAAAGGAATGATTTAACTAATAGAAAACAAAATAAATACACTGCAAACCGCACGCACACACACATTTATGTAAAACTAACAGAAGATGGGATCTTGGTTGTGCACTGCAAGACTGCATTTTTTTTGGATCAGTTTATAGATTTCATAGAGGTTAGGGCTGGAAGGGACCTTGAAGATCATCAAGTCCAGCCCCCTGCCCCAGGGGCAGGAAGTCAGCTAGGGTCAAAGGATCCCAGCAAGATAAGCATCCAAACGTTTCTTAAATGAGTCCAGAGAAGGTGCCTGCACGACTTCTGGAGGGAGTCTATTCCAGGTCTTAGGGGCTCAGACAGTAAAGACATTTTTTCTTATGTCCAGCATAAAATGGTCTTGGAGGAGTTTATGACCATTGGTCCTTATTTTACCATGGGGCACTCTGGTTAACAGACATTCCCCCAGATCCTGATGAACACCCTTTGTGTACTTAGAGGTGGCCACCAGGTCCCCCCTGAGCCTGCACTTTTCCAGACTGAAGAGTCCCATGGCTCTCAGCCTCTCTTCATAGGGCCTATTATCTTGCCCTCTGATCATGCGTGTAGCTCTCCTCTGGACTCTCTCAAGCTTCTTGACATCCTTCTTGAATTGCGGAGCCCAGAATTGGATGCAGTACTCCAGCTGCGGCCTCACCAATGTTGAGTACAGCAGAAGGATCACATCCTGAGATTTACCTGAGAAGCATCTATGGATGCAAACCAGAGTTTTGTTTGTTTTACCAGCTGTGACATTGCATTGGTGGCTCATGTTCATCTTGTGGTCAGTCAATACCCCGAAGTCTCTTTCAGCAGGGGTGCTAGCAAGTATAGTACAGCTGAGTCTATAAGCATGCTGCGGGGTTCCCCCCCCCCCAGTAGAGTACCTTACATTTATTGGTATTGAACATCATCAGGTTTGTGTCAGCCCATTTACTAAGCTTATCCAAGTCAGCCTGGATCACTAGGCTGTCCTTGGGTGTGGATGTTATGCCCCAAAGTTTAGTGTCATCGGCGAACTTAGCCAGTGCGCTTCTGACACCAATGTCCACATAGTTGATAAAGATGTTGAAGAGAACTGGTCCAAGGACAGAGCCTTGGGGGACACCACTGGTCACAGAATGCCATAATGATTCACTACCATCAACCACTACTCTCTGGGTCCAACCTCGGAGCCAATTTCCCAGCCATTGGACTGTGGTGTAGCCAAGGCCACAGTTGCCAATTTTTCCATGAGGAGGTAATAGGACACCAGATCAAAGGCTTTTTTAAAGTCCAGATATATGACGTCAATCACTTCTCCCTTGTCCAGGTGATATGTCACCTGGTCATAGAAGGAGATGAAATTGGTCAGGCAAGATGTAAAACAGTTTAGATGTAAAACAATATATTATATTTAAAGTAATTAACCACCGTTTTAAAACATCATAATTGATTAATTACAGATAATTGGCTTGGGTGAAATAATCAGTCATACAGAATACAAAAAATACAGAAAAGAATCAGGCATTCTCCTTTATGGTAATCTAATGATTTTCCTGGTCATAAGATTGCAGAGCTTATTTTGTCAGGTTTATGAATCATTCTTAAAGGATTTATAAAATCCCACCATATACACACATGCCCCAGAAGTCTATTCTTGAACTTTAAAAGTTAATTATATGCTAAATTTCTAGTGAACATGAGATGAAGTCAAGGATTGGAGCTTTGTATAATGTCTGTGGCAGAAGGCCACCTCTGTTTTTCCCCAAAAACTCTGCTCTGTGACAATTTGGTTAAGATGGGCCCTGCAGAGGGTACGCACCTTACTCTATCTCTTTAGGTAAATTCCTACATACATTCCTGGGAGAGGGGGGAAACCTGCTTCCTCTGCCTACGTGACTGGCATCACATACCTGGGTGAGGGGCTTGGACTCCCTGGAGGGCTA